GGTTTCTGCCTCATCCGACCCCCAGGGGCTGGGCCACTCCTCGTCCAACTCCGAGGACGAGGTTTCTATCTCGTCCAACCCCAAGACGTGAGCTCCAACTTTGAGGATGAGGTTTCCGCCTCGTCTGACACCTAGGCGTGGGCTCCGACTCGTCCGGTCCCATGGGAAGGGCACCGCTTCGTCCAACCCTCGACGGTCGGATTTCGTCTCGCCCGGGCCCCAGGGTGAGATTTTCGCCTCGCCCGTTCCCTAGGGGTCGAATTTGCTACCGAACAAAAGTAGTGGCCCTAGGGTGGGACCCGAATTGCTTCAACCACTACAGCATGGAGGCGCACGCCCGGAAGCACATCTCAGACATGTCCTGATGCGACTGGCGGTCACATCAGGCCTTGCTAGGAGACTCACATCGCCCACCGCGTCAACAGGCCGGCACTCTGCTGCAACTCCATGCCTGACCACCATCCAATGTTAGTCAACCAGCATTAGTTGACTGTCACTGTACCACCAGCCCCGCGTATGGCCTCTGTCAAGGGACCCTTTGACCATTTTGTCTGCTCAGATGGGATGGAAGACAAGAACGACGCACGATGTCTGCACGTATGCTGTAGCGGCCAATAGGACCCCGGTACGACACTGCTACCACCACGATCTACAGGGTCAACGAGACCCACGCGAAGAGGAGGATGGCATACCTTCGGGAGCCTTATTTCTCTTTCTTTTTTCCCTCTTCCCTTCCGTTGTAACCCCTGCTTTCCCTTGGCCTATAAAAGGGAAAACAGGGCATCCCACTAAGGGGCATCGCACATCACACCACAAGAGATCAATCGACCGATAGATCTAGTAGTAGAAGCATCGAGCAGTCGAACCACAAAGACTTGGGAGCTCCTCTCTCTCTCGCCAGTTTGTAACCCCCTACTACAAACTCAGTGCTAGTAACACGAGCAGCTCGAAACTAGACGTAGGGACATCCGGCCCGAACCAGTATAATCCTTGTGACCTCTTAGCACACCATCTAGGTCAGACGCGCAATAATACAAATTTACTAGTTGGTTCTCGAAACACCGAGAGGGAGTAAACATCTTATCAGTCAAGATAGCCTCTTCAGACGTCGGTTACCCGATCCAAGTGTATGGCACTGTCATTGCACGGGACTGCATTGACAAGAAGTGTGTTTATCTCTACCGCCGCCCCAGAGACCGATCCCAACTCATTAACTCTAAGGTACAGCTCCTTCTCTTCCCAACAAACAAACAATGCATAGCAAAGTGCCTGGCAACTGTTGTAGTGGAGGCCTTGACAAGAAGGGCGGAATGGTGACGCCTATTGTAGTGGAGGCAACTATTGCAGTTGAAGTTATAGAGGGAAATTTTGACGGAAGAATCACTGCCCACACCTCCAGCGTCAGGAAAAGCCTTGTACTTTATGATAGCAAAGTGCCTGGCGATGGTCATAGGCCCTGTTCGGGACCATGGTCTGCAGCCGTGCGGTGCGGTAGGCAAACCGCAGCTATGGGACCATGGTACCTGGAATCCATGGTGCTTTGGTTCAATCTTGTGACCGTAATCTCTTACGTGGTTGCAAGAATCATGGATGTCGCAGGCTGTTTAGCAGGATTCTTGCGGTTGGCGATGAGGAATCCGATTTTAATCGGTTCCAAGGAGGGCCATCGGCACCGACAACCATCCTGGTGGCCGTCGGCTCCCATGTCCGGCCACGTAGGCCTATCGGCCCCTGAGATGCTGACAGGGGTTCAAACATATTATTTAAAAAAAATCGACTTTATCTGTACTAACAAAAACGTAAATGAACCACCTCTATCATAGTGAAAGAAATGGCTTAGTGGTATGTCTTAAATTTGCTGAGGCTTGATCCCAACCTAAGACAGTTTTTGCTGTTTTCATTCTTTTTGGTAAACCAGGAATTAAATGTTAAAAGGCTCAAATAATCCAAAAATACACAAAAGAATAATTGGCACCGTGGTAGTGCATCCTTTTCTCATTGGTGAGGTTCTAGGTTCATTCCTGTTCTGCCTCAATTTGTTTTTGCAATTTTCATTCTATTTAGAGAAACCTGGAAAAATTTGAGAAAAATGGTGAAATAACCTAGTTTTGTACAAAAGCTCGAGTGTTGTAGAGGTAAGGCAAACTCGTTTAATTAGTGATAGTGAGGTTTCCTGTTCAATCCAATTTTGCTTCATATTTTTTGCTATTTTCATTCTGTTTAGAGAAACCCAAATAAAAAGGTCATTCTATTTAGAGAAACTCGAATAAAAAGGTGGAATAACCAAACTTAATAATTAACATAAAGACGCGAGTGGCTCTCTCCTCATTTGCTTGGACCCAGGTTCAATTCCGACTAGCAACATTTTATTTTCTTTGTTATTTGTGTGTGATAATGTAATAAAACTTAATTTTAATTCTCTTTTTTTTTAATTCCAGATTGGCTTAATTTTTGCTTCTTTCTTGGAATATTTATTAATTCCATTTTGGCTTAATTTTTGCTTCTTTCTTTTCTTAAAAAGAAGCACCACTTGGATGCATTTTTTTCTTGATAGCTCATTTTTTTAAAAAAATCATAACTTTGGTATATGAACTTGATATCAATCTGTGATTTCTTCTCGAGTCATAGGAAACTAAGGGAGGTAACAAATGATTTAGATCATCACAGAGTGAGGAGTTGTGGCCAGATGAGGGCGTGGGTGGCGTGGGGTTTGATCGGCGAGGCGGGCGCAGGCGTGTACCGATGGGCGTCCGACAGCGTGCAGGGCAACCCGGGCGACCATATGGTGCGGTGGAGGAATGGCCAGCTGTGTGGGGTGGCAGAGGTGTGGCTAGGTGAGCAGGGTGGCAGAGGCATGGCAGGTGGGACCCCAGAGAGCGTGTGTAGCAGGTGGAACCTACATGAGGAAATCACATCTCACCCCAACGTAAAACCATTATCAAAATTTGAAATTAAAGACTTGTCGGGGTTATAACCCTGGGGTGTCTAAAGTCACAGATTAGTTGGCAGGCCACATGACCCACAACTCCCTAGCTAGCGAAGGCCCAAACAACTGAAGCCCAGTTAGATGAGAAATCTAGGCTGATGAAAGGGCAGGGGACGGTCACGATCCCTCTCCACGCCTTAGCCACACGGCGCCCGAGAAACGTGCGAGCTCTCCCCGCCACGACCCTGGAGGGGAAGGGGAGAGGTCAAGCCCAGCCTGATGCACCTGCTCCGCATTGACCCCGCAAGGACCAAGGTGACAACAGTCACCTAGGTCCGGTCAGACGCCAACCCCATGCCACGTCGCACGAACGAGACAACACCGCATAGCAGAGGAAACGGGTACGAAACCCACCGTCCAGATATGAACCGATAAAAGTATGTATGATCCTACCCACTATGGGATGGTATCTACGACAAGAGCCTCAACACAGAGGCCGTCCAGACCGGCTAAAAACCCCGACCCCGACGATCAGGGTCATGGACCTCAACCCCGCGAAGCAACCAGGCGATCGACAAACCGGGGTGGCTAGCAACTCCCGTGTGACGTCCCGAGAAACCAGGAGATGGTAACGAAGGTCATGACGGATACCACGTTGCACAGGATGGCTGACGAACCATCACCGTGTCTATAGTGCTGCCATGGCCAGCACAATAGCACCACGTCACACCCTGTCGTGGCATGGCAACAAGACCATGACGATAGCCACGCCCGGATGAGCACCAGAAGATGGCGTAGCTTGCAAGCCAAGTTAGCTAGGACCTCCCTTAGGCTCACGACCCTTCGGTCGAGGGAACCTCCTCTTTGTATCAGCCCTAGCCCCGAACTCTATATAAGGACTGCCCGGGCAACGCATTCGGGACATCCTCTGCCATTCCATTCATTCACCATAGTAGAAGGGCTCCTGAAGCTTCCCTTCGGGCAGCCCATTGCCTAGCATAGGTTCTACCACCTCTCTCACCATTCTTGCACCCCTCATTGTAAGAACTTCAGAGCATTCAAGCGAGGAACACGCACTTGATTATCTCTGAGACTAGACATAGGGCTCCAGCCTGAACCAGTATAAATCCTCGTGTCTTTTGGATGCTACCATCGTCTTCCTAGAACAACGCAGCAATCGTATAAATTTACTAGTCCGATTTACAAAATACCGACAGTTGGCATGCCAGGTAGGGGACAGTCGCACACTCTCGATTGTTGAGAGGGAAAGCGGTGGCACCTTGCATTGTCGGTGAACTCGCTGGTGGAATTGCCCGCGGCGGCCACATCCGCCGTAAAAACTATGGGTTTACCAGCGTCAACTATTTTGGTTGCTTTTCCTACACAAACAATCAACAATCCAGTTGCCATGGGGTCCAGAGTTCCAGCATGTCCAACCTGAGACCACACAAATATTGCAAAACATATAGTTAATGCTAAGGGCAAATGCTACATTCACACACAGTGAAAAAACCCGGATATCAACTTTTGTACTTTCACCAAGCGCCGCAACTTGCCACAAAACAGTAAATGAAGTCCATTCTAAGATTAGAGGAAAGACGAGTTCAGATGAATTGTTCAGGATGGAAGGCAACAGAGCAAATTAATAAAACACCGCTCGAACCTAATCATGTATGTGCATTAACTTATTATTATCTGCCCTAATAGGAAACACAATACAGAACCCTGTCTTGAGGCAAAGCTGCAGTTGCCACACCAACTGATTGCCATGTAATTGTTGCGCTAATCGCTCACATTTCAGAAAAGGATTTTTTCCAGTGGTGCATGTGCATCAGATAAAAGTAGCTAAAATACTACTGTTGTTTTAGATGATACATTTTGGTGAGAATCCCAGAACCTGCAATACACCAAAGTGGAGGGGAAAGGCATCACCTTTGGGTGAGAATCCCAGAACCTGCAATGCACCAAAGGGGAGGGGAAAGGCATCACCTTTGGGCTTGTCAGTGAGCACGACGGTCCCGGCCGGGCCATCCCACCTAGGTGGTAGCTTCGTGGTCCTGGTGACGAGGTACGACTACGGACGCTCCTCCTCCCTTGGCACCTCGCGCTTCACCTGCCACGGCTCCGCTCCCGGTCTCTTGGCCTTGGTGTCGGCTTGGCCGGGGCCCTTATTCAGAGACCTGAAGAAGTCTTCCACCTTCCTCTCCAGCACCTCCCCTTTGTCGTCGCTATCAACGCCCTTCTTACTGACCACCCGCTCCCCTCCCTCATCTTCCTTCTTCTCGTCGTCGAAGAAGACGAGGCTCCTGTCGGCGTCGGAGGCTGGGGCGGTGCATGATGAGGTCGTAGTAGAGAGGGTAGGGAGTCGCTATGAGCGAGAGGAAGCGGCGCAGGAGGCAAAGCAGCACGCGACGGGGAGGAGGATGAGGAGGGCAGCAGCGCCACCCTCACCGCCGCCGCCATGGCTCCCGCTCGAGGAGGCATTCATGTCCCCGTGGTGCGCGGGCCGCTCGCTATCAGTAGGGGAAGGGAGAGCTGAGTCATGCGGCAGCCCAGCCGTTGGATCTGCAGCATACGGAGCAGATGGAGAGCATAGCATCATCGATGTCCATGAGGACTTGCAGGTAAGAAAATGGATGATGACAATTAAAAATGCAACGAACTATCATGTTTTATAATTATAATATAATGAAAATAAAGTTGATTTTTAAGAGGAATGTTTAAATCAGAAATCAGAGAATAAATAAAATTATGGTACTGCTATTATTAAGACGTCCGGAAGACGTCCGCTCCACTTACTGTTGCATGCGCCGCTCACCTAAAAAACAAAATTAACTCCCGCACGCCTCGCTCCGCTCCCATCCTTACCCCTTCCGTGCTCCTCATCCCTGCCACAGCAAACCAACGCCCGATGCCCTCCCCCACTGGGAGCCTCCACCGGTCACAGATCCGACAACCCTCTACCCCACCTTGGTGAGATATATGGAGCAGGAACGAGATCCACTCACCTCCGGCAAGATCCATGGAGGTTATGCGGCGGTGTTGCAGGGGAATGGGCGACTCTTCTCCACCCTGCGTGGCGCCCTATACACCCCCGATGGCCATGGTGCTCCTCGCCCCCCCACCTCTATCGTCTGCGCCGAGCCAAACCCTATACTAGTGGCCCTGGTGCTCATGCACCGCCACTCGCCGCCGGCTCCGACCCGGACAACTGGAATCGACTGGCCTAGGCTTCCCCTCCCCTATGTTGCAAATATATGTTTCTAGTGTTTCAGTCATTTCAAAGGTATGTTGTAGTTGTTTCTTATGGATGTTGCAAAAGTAGATCAAAGGATGTTGCACATGTTGCATATGTTGCAAGTGTTTCAGAAGCGTGTTGCAAGCATTTGTTCAAAATATTTCATCTGTTTCAAGATGTATGTTGCAACCGTATTTATCTGGATGTTGCATATGTTTTCACACATATATTGCAATAGTTTGTTCCAAATGTTTCCGTTGTTTCAGTCTTATGTTGCAGTAAGTGTTTTTTCATGTTGCACTTATTTTATCTGGATGTTGCATATGTTTCATACACATATTGAAAGCGTATATCCCAAATGTTTTATCTGTTTCAAATGTATGTTGCATTCGAGTGTTTCTTTTTGTAAGTGCAGACCGTCGGCGTTGATGTCCATGAGGACGGGCAGGGCTAAGCCGCGGGTACTGACACGTGGAGGAGGCACAGGGCGCTAACAGCGGTGTGGGGAGGAGGCACAAGCCACGCGGTGCTCTAGTGGAAGAGACGGGGGCGAGTCATCCGAGCAGTGTGGGTAGTGGATCTGAAACAGCTGGTTCAAATGCGAGCGCGGGAAATGGAGCTGACGCGTGAATCTGAGCGGACATGGTGGAGCAGCCGCTGGCATCCGAATGGACCCAAGCACGTGGACCTCAAGGCGCTAGTGCTGCCGATAAAATTATGTTATAGAGCCACTATGTTTTTTCTTTATCGGCTTTCGTTGAGATGCAATCATCCATCCATGGGTTTTAAGCCCAACACGGCCCGAAACAACCCACTTGGCATTCAACCTGACATGCAGGCCACCCAAATAGGTCCATGAGCTAGCAGCCCATTACCGCATTGCGCTCTCTTGGTCCCTCCCGGCTCTCGGACAGACAGACAGCCAGAGAGGAAGGCACGATAGGGCGGCTGTGGCTTCATCACTTCACTACATACAAAGCACAAGTATTTGTTGGGTGATTATGCAAGCGGTAGATCGATGTGCCATTTTTGAATAAAAAAGCTTATGTTGATGTTTTTTTGTCACCAACTAATAAATTTAGCGTCACTTGTTGGTTCGGATCGCCTAGCTCTGGGAAACTCAAAATACACGGCCCTGCTTGGCATAGCTCAGTTTTACTAGTGAAGTTGTTTTTCAGAGCATTTGGGACTGCTCCACAAACTCCGCTTCACAAACTTCATCGTGGAGCAGTTCCACAAAAAATTGGAGTTTGTGGAGCACCTCTTTAGGTGTTCTCATAACTCCACCCTTTACCTTCGAACAGAGTGCGTGAAGCTGATACCGTTTGGCTAAAAAACATGGATCGGAGCTGGAAAACGTGGAACGGGGCAGTCCCAAGCACCACCTTAAAGTTTCAGCTCAACCAACACCTTTATCAATGAAGCTAAAACTGTTTTTCAACCTGTTTTGCAAAATAGCTCATGATCGGAGACAAAATGAATGAAATGACTATAGTGCCCCCATTTTTTCCCTTTCCACTTTTTTTTCCTATTTTTTCACCTGCCCATCGGTTTCCTCCGTGAGTTACGGTTATGCCAACACCGCCTGCAAGCCCTGTGCATGACCTGCTGGCCCAGGCGGCCGCGAACGCCCTACGAGCCCAGCCTCGCTCGGAGGTCGTGCGTGCCTCACGAGCTCCGGCGGCCGCGAGCTCTAGTTGTGCGTGCCTCGTGATCTCCAGCGCCCACACGTGCCTCGACGACGGTGGCCGTGCCACTCGCACCTAGTCCTGGTCGCTCGTCCGCTCGTGCCCCAGTTACGACAGTCATGCCGCTCACATGTGGTTCCGGACACGCCGTGCTCCTAGCTCCGGTGGCCTTTGCCGTGTTCCTCTGACGCGACATGTCTCTCCTTCATCTGCCCGTCTGTACATAGCTTCGGGTGGCCGCGCCCCACCACCCCCGCCGACCGCGCCCCGGTGGCCACACCCCGGCGGGCAACGCCCCGGCAAGAGTACGTAGCTCTCTCTATCTCTGCCTAGGCAAAAGGAGTCTTTTGTGCATGCTTGGCCCCCTCATGCGTTACATGAAACTGGGATAAGCTACATTTTTAACTATGTCCCATCACATCCTCTGGTGAGAGGAGGGAAAAATAGCTTCACCCATGAAGCTGTTTTAAAAAATGGTGTTTGGAAAAAAAAAACAGCTCATAACATCTCATGAAACTGTTGGTGAAGCTATGCTAGATAGGCCCTTAATGGTGTAACCCTCGCACTCTCTTTCTTATCCGACTGATATGAGTCGAGCATAAGTTTACTCTCCTGTGAAGTCACTTATATCGTATTAATGAGGGTGCCCGTTGTATGGATACACGTCAACTAAAATAATTAAACATTGGCGTTACTCCAAGAATCTATGGTCATGGAGCAGAGATTAACAAATTGAATTCGAGTAAAAGCTCTGAATCAGTATCCAATAGTGTTAGAAAAATTTTATTGTATTTCACTGAAAGCATGACGAACACTATCACCGGAAAAATAATGGAAAAAATATCCAGGAGCCTTCCTTAGTTGCAGTGGCTCTAGAGTTTGAAATAAGTTGAGTTGTGGATGTGTTGTAAGATTCACCGGACTCAGACATGAACCTTTTGCAAGAATGATAAATTGGAGCTGGCATCTTTGAATAACAAATGTACTCCACCCAAGCAAGAAACACAAATCTCACGGGGCAACAAAGCAATTATGCTCATAAAGAAGAGTGTTCCTAGGTAAACTTGTAATTATTACAGCCCACAGAGCCAATTTGCTTCGCGTAATCGTGCATTATCGCATAAGCATATGTGCTAAGAATTGTGGCTTGAATCATGCAAGCACTAAAAACACCTGACCATCTTCATGACCTCTATCGGGCTCCTCATTGTTGTCAGGACGGGTTATCGATATAATATAGAGGTGTTATGCATCATCTTACTTGATACCAGTCCTGTTAGTTCTATGCTCCTTGCTCCACCAGGCATCCTCCTTTTGGCTCCACCATCGATGAATTCCCACTACATAGAGACCCTTATATATGAACCTTGCATGTCATCAAAATACAAGACCTGTTCCTCATTCCAAGACAAGATGCTGACACCATGGACAGACGCTCACCGAAGTTGGCACCAGTCTTTCCTCCCCACCATCCTAACCGACCGCGGCGAGCCACGCCTTGTCAGCTCTTACCGTGTTATGTTCCTATTGGGACACAGATAGCTTGGTTGCGAAGGCTATCCTCCCCTCACATCTCTTCATCACACATCTAACAGACTAAGCTAGAATATGGGCTGTCGTGTTTATTTTGACAGGAATCTTACAGGGACCTTTGCCTATGACATCTGACCTTGCGAAGGTCCATGGCCAGTGGAGGCGTCTCGGCGAAGGCCCGAAGATTGCTTCAAGGCGGCGCCTGGGAAGAGGACACGAAGGTCGTTTGGGGAAGATGATGAATCAACTCAGCAGACTAGAGAAGACCGGCGGAGGTTAGGCCTTTGCCTTTTATGGGCAGGGCTCCCAAGGAGGAGGCACGTCTTTGCATAACCACTGGCACACCCGGTGGGCTTAAAGCTAAGACCCATGAGGCAAGGCGGTTGAGGGAGAGAAGACCTAACGTACCACAGGAGTTTGTAAGTGTATGGGCATATGCCAGAATATACCCTACCGATTGTGAGGGCATAGGAGTAAAAGAACTCGCCTCAGTATAGTGATCTATAAAGGGGAAAGCAAGCCCCATGTAAATGGGAGAGACCAATGAATCACTAAAACCCTAATTGAGTCATATGAATTGTTGTCTTACTTAAACAATCCTTTGCCCCCTCCTTGGCGAAGGCCTCGAGTACTCAACTTTGTTGGGAATAATTTTCCCAACAGTCCCGGGCCACTTTGGTTGACCGAGGCCGAGCTCGACGTGCCATGACCTTTGCAAGAAGGCAGGCCTCAATAGCATGGACACAACTAGACAACGTTCCTTGCATCGGGACACAACTTATATATTGTAATAATATTATTAGTATTATGAGATGATGGTAATAACAATGTAAGCTGATCTGGTGTCTGGTCCATATATAGTAAAAAAAAAAATTCCTCGTTTGCACTCTCCTGCTGCGCTGCAAATCCGTCAAGCACCTGCCTCCTCCATCCGATTCGCGTCCGCCCTATCCCCGCCGTCCAATTTGCTAACCATTAGTCGATTGTGCAGGAGACACCAAAAAAACGTTAATGATATGTTACGGGTGTCCGTCCCGTGACTCCCATCCGGACATGGCTCATTCTCATCCACTCATCCACGTGCTCCGCATGTGTCGCCCGCCCGCTCTGCGCTGCGCACCCCCGTTCGCGCAGGATGGACTCCACTCGCTAGCGCCGCCCCCACTCGCGGGACGGACTTCGCCTGCGCCACCCCCGCTCGTAGGATGTCTGCTCGTCGGCGCCCCCCACCCACGTGGATCCAGCTCACAGCTTGTAGGATGGACTCCACCGATGCTACCCCCGCCTGCGCAGGCCGCGTGCCTCCCCTGCCCGGACTCGTGCCTCCGGTTATGACCGCGTTCCATCCGCCTGCCGCGGCCACTACCAAGGTCCGTGCCACTGATGAGCTCCACACCGGCCACGTCCGTGTACTCTATGGCATCGAGCTCCGCGCCATTGTCGAGCTCCACGAAGACGACCTCCATTTGTCCAAGCAGTAAGGTGACATTGCGCTAAAAGCGCATGCTGCAAATCATATGTTTCAAGTGTTTCATTTATTTTAGAGGCATGTTGCAAGGGTTTCGTATGGATGTTGCATATGTTCAATGGTTGTACACTTATGTTGCAAATGTTTGTTCCCAATGTTTCATCTGTTTTTTTTCAGACGTATGTTGCAAGTGTGTTATGTGGATGTTGCATATGTTTCACACATATGTTGCAAGTGTTTTATCTAGTTGTTGCTTATGTGTTGCAATTGCAATTTTTTTCAAGTGTTTCGTGTGTTTTTTAAGTGTTTCAGACGCATGTTTCAAATGTTTTATGTGTCTTCATACGTATGTTGCAAGTATTGTATCCGGATGTTTCAAAAGTAGATCGGGTGTTGCATCTCCCTCCTCGCCTTCTCCTGCCTCGCCTTGGTGTGTCCTCCTCACGCCTTCTGCTGCGTTGCATCCTTCTCAGACTCGGGAGGGGGCATGCCGGGGGCTAGTGGAGGGGGCATCGGGGATGGCGGCGTAGACGCGAGCGCACGCTCTCCACTTCCATTACGCGGGCAGATAGCACTTCTATTCACTTTTTCTGTTACGCGAGGATGCTTAGATGGAATGCTCCCGATGGTGGGCCTGTGACTAGAAGTTGGGCCACGTTTTGGTTGGCTGGGACTAGGAGCTGCGTCCAGACACGCTGTTGGCGCTGGACGTCCGGGCGCTAGAGCCTCCTAAAAAAATAGAATTCCTCTCTTGTAGTGCTCATGCACGTATGCGCCATTCAACCAGCTAGTCTTTGAATCGCTTCTGTTCCTTTTTTCCATGAGACACCTGCATGCATGCATGGAGAGATGTCGTGCAACACTCCGACTCATAGTCGTCCATACCGGACGTGCTCCATGTTTTAGTTAGCTCACCTTGTCTCAAAACCTAGATCGGCTTTTCTTTTCTTGTTTAAAGCTTCCATTGAAATCTTTACTACCCCTAAGGTATCCGAAGGCGTGTTGTATCTAACTTTTCTCTGTCTTAATACAAAGACACGTAAACCTTTAGCGTGATTGAGAAAATCTCTTTGGTTGGCGCTTGGTGGCATGTTCATCATGGCGGAAGTGGAGGCGGAGGTGGAGGCGGGGTCAAGTTTGGAGCCGAAGGCGCCTACGTGGGCAGAGTCGTAGGCGATGGAGAAGCACTTGGATGCGTTAAGCAAGCAGATTGTGGACCTCAACAAGATCGTCTATCCTCATCATGATCGGAGTGCTTCTGCTGTGGAGTATCCTGATCTATCAGGCCTAAGTGAGGCCGACCGAGCGGCGGAGTCGGCGTGGCTCCATGAGCGAGCGTGGGACGAGACGGTGAAGCGAGGCGATGCCAATGAGTTGCTACTGCGCTTGGGGTGGGAGTACGTCTGGCTTGCCTCTGAGATGAGGACTCTGGATTTCTCCGGCATGATAGAGGCCAAACGAGCGGTGAAGGCGGAGAGGCTCAGGGAGGAAGCGCTGGAGAAGGCCCGTTGTCTCTAGGAGGTGGGGGACCCCAAAGGTCGGCTGTGGGAAGTGAAGGCTCACATCCTCGACTTTGATACCAAGCAGAAGGGCATCTACTACACCCGGCTCTGTTTCATCAACCTCACAAGTTTCGACCTCGATGAGGAGTGTAAGTAGCCTAGGATTATTCTTCCGGCAACCTTTTTTTTGCTTGATTATATTATATGATTGTGTTTGCACTTTCATCTAGTTTTGCTAGAACTATTATTTATTGTGAGCAAGAATTCAAGCTACCTTGTTTAATTGTGGTTTTTTGTCTGCTACATCGCCCCATGGTCGGATGAGATTTACTGATGATGATGCATTCAAAATGAGCAAGCCACACATGCTATGTGGGGGAGTAAACATCTTATCTATCAAGATAGCCTCTTCGGACGTTGGTTACCCGATCCGAGTGTATGGGACTGTCATTGCCCGGGACTGCATTGACAAGAAGTGTGTTTATCTCTACCACCACCCCAAAGACCGATCCCAACTCATTAACTCTAAGGTACAGCTCCTTGTCTTCCCAACAAACAAACAATGCATTGCTTGCTTTTTGTTTCAACAAATATTACACCCCATATTTTGTACCAAGATCATAAGGCTAAAATCTATATAGTACTGACATTCAAATTGATTTCTATTGGTTGAGAATGTATCTGCCAGATGTCTTCAATAAGTATACGCAATTTCATCCACTTTAGCGTGTTGTCGGCTTAATTTCATCCACTTTTTTTTCCACAATGCTATGTATTTGGAATAATTTGTCACTGACCTATCATGTAAACCCTTTCACGTAGGATACTCGTGTGATCTTGGCTGGCCCAAAATGAGGACTTGCATTATTAGATGCTATGCATGTTGAGATTGACCTGAAGATAAAGGGTTATCATGGGCAGGACAGAGAACTCAGCAAAGGAGTGTTGTTTATCAAAGTCACGGTGCACCGATCACTGAAGGAATGTAAGCTCGAAACCAATTATCTTTCAACAAGGCTCAGTACTGTGGACGTGACGTATGCGGTCGCGCCTATTGTAGTGGAGGCAACTGTTGCAGTTGAAGTTATAGAGGGAAATTTTGACGGAAGAATCACTGCCCACACCTCCAGCGTCAGGAAAAGCCTTGTGCTTTATGATAGCAAAGTGCCTGGCGATGGTCATAGGCCCTGTTCGGGGCCGTGGTATGTAGCCGTGCGGTGCGGTAGCCAAACCGTGGCTATGCGACCTTGGTACCTGGAATCCATGGTGCTTTGGTTCAATCTTGTGACCGTAATCTCTTACATGGTTGCAAGAATCATGGATGTCGCAGGCTGTTTAGCAGGATTCTTGCGGTTGGCGACGAGGAATCCGATTTTAATTGGTTCCAAGCAGGGCCATAGAGCTATCCAACTTAAGCGACCTGTTGTGTCCGTTTTTGTAAAGGATTGGCTGATAATTGTTGCAAAGACGGGTGATGGTAAATCTGTATGCAGGATTGGATTTTCTCCAAAGAAGAAAGGCAGAGAAGAAGCTGTAATTACAGTTGGTGTCACTAAGATGTGCGTGAAGGTTGCTTGGTCAATAATGGACCCCTAACAAGTTTGCAGATAAGCATCATTTTCATTGGTAGATGCGCATGCTTCGGTGTGGCCACATATCTGATTAGTGATGTTGCGTCTACCAACAATAATATAAGTTTCGTAGCACCTAGCTGAACTCTATAGAAGTAAGAGCTAGCACTCCCGACCCAGAAATTAGATGGTTTCTATAGCTATTAATTAGTGTGCCAACTAACAAGCAAAATATTGATGTGTCACTGTAGTTATTGAAGAGAGAGAATACAATGATTTTTTATATAGAAAACCATGTCTACAAGAGAACCAAAATACAAAGAAGATGTGATTGGTAGATGCTATGAGAGAGAAGATAGATGCTTGGATATGTAACACCCCAGGTGTTTGTCACCAGTTAAGCAATAGGTTTAAACTCAACCATGGCATGTTAAGTGGTGATGGAAATGCTGGATGTACTTGTTTCATGTGTCTCGCCTCAATATCCCTCTATATTGGTCCATGGAAAAGTTTCGTGAAGTTTGGAATGAAAAAGTCACATGAAATGACAAGTTATATCCTTGTTGGAATAGCCTTATTAAGTGAATGAGAACATGTGTCATCAACCAAACCTTGCAACCTTGCCCAAATGACTCTAGATGAACTCTACAACAAAAGTCATGAAAGGTTCATGTTGAGCAAATGCCAAGAAAATGCCCCAATGGGTCACAAAGGATAATTTAAGCTTTATCGTGATCCTACTTTGGTCAAAGTAGAACTATAGCTTCTGCACCTGTTTTAAAGTTGGACATTAAATAAAAGTTGAAGCTCATGTTATGTAGAAGAAACTTTGTTTTTGGAGTATACCATGGATCGGCTCGAAACCAAGTCTAGCAGTGGCTCAAAATTGGAACCTGCTACTGATTTTAGCACTTAGAAATATTCTAAGTCTAGAAATTCATTGACACCGGCATTGGCGTCTCGCGTTCTCCAAATTTCGTTAAGCAACTTGACTTGACCCCAAAATGGAAGTTGGAGCTAAGTTCATGGAGAAGGGCATGTAAAAAGATGGCACCAGTTTGACCTCGTTTTCACCATCAATTTGAACGTTTGCTTGTCGCTGTCAATACGCTGACACTAGCAGTTTGTGGCTTAATTACCCACTGTTGAAGAGCTCTAATGACCATGTGGCCTTAATAAAAGTTGGAGAGTAATCAGAGTTGAGCAAACTTCATTTTTGGCCCACTGTCTGATTCGGCCCGGAAGCGGCCCAAATCGGCTCCCCATGCCGCCCTCACCGACGCCCGCCATGTGCTCGGGGAATTGCCCGAACGGCAACGCGTGCTGTGGACGTGGCCGCCATGCGCCCCTGCTCACTGCCGTGTGGTCTGCCTCCACTGCCGTTCCCTGAGCCTGCTCGTCAATGTTGGAGCATCAGAGCGCTCGCCAAGCTTCTCTCCAGTCACAATCTCTCCCTCTCTCGCACTGTGACGTTGCGCGCAGCCGCGTCCGCCATGGTCAGCCGGCCAAACTCTGCCGCCACCGCGTTCTGCCACTCCACCCTTCCTTGGCCAGAGCCATGAGCCTCAGCGCCCTCGCCTTCACCTGCCGTGCACGTCGAACCCCTTAGCCACCTCCCTCCCTCGCCGTGCTGCTCGTCCTCGGAGCCGCTGCCGTCGCCGTCGCTGGCTGCCGTGGTCGCACCACCACAAGCCGCCTCGGGCTGAGCTGGGCAGCCCTATGGGTGCGCGCGGGACCCCTGGTCCTCCCCGCCACTCCACCGCCGCCGTCGACGCCCACAGCCGGCCGGAGCCGTGAGCCGGCCGCTCCCCTGCGCTGCTGTTGAGAGGAACGAGAAGGTGGACCACGCGCGGAAATAGAAGCTTCTCTAGGGGGTTAAGTGAATAAGCAGCGACTCTGGTGAATAGTGTCAAGAAGGGTCAATCGCTGATCTTTTATTTCAGTTCTTCGCAGGGACCTCGATGCAAGACTTACGTGTCTTTTCTTTTGTTTTTACAGATTTGAATCATGAACTTTAAAAATTCATAGTAATTAGTATAAAAATCGTAAAATAGTAAATGAGGACTTTTTGGAATCCTTGTGAAATTATCTATGCCCTAGCTCTATAATATGGCACTATTTAGTTTAAATTTTTTGCTGTAAAAATCAATTTATGCAGTTAGGTTTGTAATACTAGTTGTGTCTTGTCTTTTTTTATAACTGAAGTTAATTTGCTCAAATAAATGGGAAATTTTTATGAGATGCTCATCAGGTGATTATTGTTGTCTGGTAAAAATTTCTTGAGTTTAGGATTTATAATTCAAGAGTTATGAAAATAACAAGTGCCCTGTAATGCTTTGCTCCTACTCTGAACAGTTCTGCATGTTTGAATTAATTGGCTCAGTTAAGTTATGAATCATGACTTGATGAAAATACATGAGTTGTAGTACTTTTCTTAAGCTTTCCAAAAAGTTAAATATCATGATTTTTGGCTAAGTAGATCTTGAGTTATACTTGCTTAAATCACTGTGGTTATTTCTGTCCAAACCCAGAGAGGGTTTCCTTGTTCTTACTGTGGGGCCTTCTTAATAGTAGAATTAGCTTGGGGTGTTTACAACAAAGTTGTTTAGAATTTGATAAGCTTTCTAAAAAGTATAGAATCACATTTATTGGACATGTATAACTCCATTTATAGCTGTTTAAAATGGCATGTCAGTTTCTATCTATATTTTGGACAGAGATGCAATTATTGGATTAATTGACCCTTCTAACTGTAGAATCGTCTTAATATGAGAATAATAAAGTTGTAGGTAACTTCCTAAGCTTTTTAAAAAGTTATGGTTCATGTTTGTTGGAGGTCTAGAACTCCAGTTATGCTTCTCTGAAGTTCATATCAGTTTTCTGTACCACTGCTGTTGGGTTGCATTTGCAGTTTTGCTTGTGCAATTATTTTCGTGGTGTAAATGATGTTCGCTATGGTTGTAGTGAATAAAAAAGTTGTAGAAAATTTCATGATCTTGCTTGTGTTCAAATTGTAAGGCCATAGGCCTGATAGTGTAGGAGTTACATGACTTTTAAGTCTTCTGTCAGGTTTTGATTGTATTCTGAGCAGATCTGAAAGATGCTAGTATTTGATCTAGTTAGGATTTGAATGACCTTTTGGTGATAATAACAAAGTTGTAGATAATTCATGTATCTAGATTTTGTTAAAATTTGGTGGTATTTGGCCTTGTGGTTCGTGAGTTATGCCTGTTTAAAGTTGGGTTTCAGAAATGGCTGCTTTCTGTCAATTGTGGACCAGTTTCTGTAAATGGGTATATTTGACTTAGTTAACTTGAGAATCATGCTAATATGATTAAATATGAATTGTAGAAAATTTCATAAGCTTTCTAGATTATCTTGTTTCATGTCTTTTGGATTAGTACAACAACTGTTATGAATAAAATTAGCTGTTGCTGTTTGCAGC